CTGTGTGATCTCAGTTCCCTGAGCAGAAATTGAACACATGCCCCCTGCAGTGGAAGCTCAGCTTCCTAACCACGGGATGACAAGCAAAGTCCCTGTGTACACATTTTTGTGTGAATACAAATTTTTATTTCTCTAGGGTTAATACACAGTAGTAGTGTAATTGCTTTAATATATGTTTAATTTTATAAGAGACAGCCAGTTATGTTCTAGAGGTTGTACCATTTTATCTCATCACTGGCAATGTGTGTGGGACCCAGTTGCTCCACCTTCTCACCAGTACTTGGCTTTATCGCAGTTTTTTTTTTTTTTAATTGGCCATTCTCATCAGTATATAGTGGCATTTCATGGTTTCCTTAAACTGTATTTGCCTAATGACTACTGATGTTTAACAGATTTTCATGTGCCAGTTTGCTATTTGTGTATCTTCTTTGGTGAAGTGTCTGTTCAAGGAGCTGACTCATTTGTATGGTTTTTCAATATGCCAAACTATCCATATGTCTATCCCTCACTTGTCCCCAGAGCTGACATCTTCGTGGAAGTCCCTAATGGTGGCCTTCTCAGCATGTCCAAAACCAGAACTGCCATCTTCCTGGACCTCCCCAGGGAAGAACTAACCCTGGGAGGATTTACTATGTTCCAAACACTGTCCTCAGTGCTTCATATGTTTTAAGTAACTTGATCCTCTCAGTCATCCTATGAGGTGAGTACTGTTTTTACCTCCATTTTACACATGGGGAAATGAGGCACAGAAATGTTGGCTGATTCACTCTTAATGTAGAGCTACAAGCGGACAGTAGGACCTTCCAGACACCTGACACGACCCTAGATTTTTCCTTCTCTCCTCTCTACATCTGTTCAGTCACTAAGTCCTGGACATTGCACCTCCTGAATATTTTATCTCATTGTCTATCTTCCTATCCTTATAATTACTGCTCTGTTTCAAACCATCTTTTCTCTTGCCTGGACCATTTATTTCCAACTTTCTATTATAGAGATTTTCAACAACACAAAAAAGTAGAGAGAATAGAACAATGAATATGTCTATTGCTCGCTCTCTGTGTGTGTGTGTGTGTGTGTGTGTGTGTGTATGCGTGCACGCACATGCACGAGTCTTCAGTTGTGTTCGACTCTTTGGGACCCCATGGATGGTAGTCCACCAGGCTCCTCTGCGTATGGAATTTTCCAGGCGAGAATATTGGAGTGGGTTGCCATTTCTTCCTCCAGAATCTTCCTGACTGACCCAGGATCAAACCCACATCTCCTGCATTTTCTGTATTGGCAGGTGGATTCTTTACCACTGAGCTGTCAGGGAAGCCCAGATACAACCAACATAAACTCATGACCATTCACTTCATATATGTCCTCCACTCCCTGCTGCCACCCAGCTGCATTATTTTGAAGTGAATCTCAGGCAGTATGTTAATACATCTATAGATACTTCTGTATGCATCTCTAAAAGATAACTTTAAAAAAAAAAATCATCACAATTACATGATTAGCATTATGCATTAGCAATATTTCTTTAAATCATCAACTATCTAGTCCAGGTTGGTGTAAGTTATCTATTGCTGTGTAACTAAGGTGTTTTAAAGTAACAACATTTATTGTCACTCGGTTGCTGTGGGTCGGGAATTCAGGAGCAGCTTAGCTAGTTCTGGGTCTGTGTCTCCTGAAATTGCTGTCCCTTGAAAGGTTGACAGGCCCTGCAGGATCTGCTTTCCAGGTGGTTCATTCACACTGGCTCACAAGTCAGAGCTGGCTGTTGACTGGAGACTCAGGGCCTCTCCTGAGAGGGCTCATCACCTGGCAGCTTGAGCCTCAGAACCTGTGCCTGGTTTCGCTCAGAGCTAGTGAACCAGGGAGCCAAGGAGGAAGCTGCAATACCTTTCATGACCAAATCATAAATCGCACACACTTCTGTGGTGTTCCTCCTCCCTCCATCTGTGCCAGCCTGCTTCAATGTATACAGGGTGTGAATACGAGGCCAGGAATTTTTTAGGAGGAGGGAGGCATCCTGGAGAATGGTTACCACAGGTTGAAGTTGCCCCACGTGTCTCTCATTTACAATTGGTTTATTTGAATTAGGATCTAATTCAGTTTTACATCACTGCATTTTCTTGGTAGGGCTCAAACTCCTTTTCTTTAATTGGAGGATAATGATAATATTGTGATGGTTTTTGTCATACATCAGCGTGAATCAGCCATAGGCATACATGTGACCCCTCCCCTCACCTCTCTCCCCACCCCTTTCCTGACTCATAACTCTTAACCTCTAGGTTTCTTTCTTTCCCTCCTCCTCTTTTGTTCTTGCTTCTTCATCTTTTTGTTGTTTAAAGAAACCAGGTTGTTTGTCCTTAGAGTTTTACTAGATTTTGCTGCCCACCTCCCCATGTCATTTACATAGTCCTCCTACACTTGTCTTTCCTATAAACTGGTATGTAGATGTAGAACCTAATATGCCTAAGATTCAATTTTTTTTCTTTTTGCAATTAAACTTTATTGATCGTGTTGCTTACTTTCATCAGGAGGCTTGTCAGTTTGTCTCTTAATATGATGTTGATAGCTATTGATTGGCATCACCCAGCTTCATTATTTCATCAGAGGTTTACGAAACAGTCATTCTAATCCTCTGGGGGTTTCCCTGGTTGCTCAGTCAGTAAAGCATGTGCTTGCAGTGTAGGAGACCTGGGTTCAATCGTTTGGTGGGGAAGATCCCCTGGAGAAGGAAATGGCAACCCACTCCAGTATTCTTGCCTGGGAAATCCCATGGAGAGAGGAGCCTGGCAGACCACAGCCCATGCAGTCGCAAGAGTTGGGACACGACTTAGCCTCTAAACCATCAATCCTCTAATTTCTTCATCTATTAGCTGGAATACTTCTATAGAGAGAAAGTTGAGCTTACTTTTGATTACCCTTAAGTACAGTTTATACAGAAAAGAAAGGATAGAGGAGACTGGCGGGCTATAGTCGATGGGACTGCAGAGTCGGACACGACTAAGCACTTAGCAGCAGCAGCTAGCATCCACCAAAAGTGACCAATATTTTAAAATATCATCATGAACTTATGGGTTTAAAAAATTTGATTTCAACCCTTTGCTCTTATAATTCTTATTGATGCTCAAATTATCCCATCTTTGGCCAGGAGAAGCCTCTTTAGCTCCTGAGTCCTTCTGAATGATACTGCAGTAGTCATCTTTGATAGTTCCTTTTCTTTCTGGCATAACATTATGTTCCAGGTTGATTTTGTACATTTCCTGGGCTGACCTCTAAACACCATCTTTCCAAGGAGCTCTGCTTCCTTTTACTGACACGTGAGAGAGACCACATCTGGGCGTTGGTGTAATAATTGCCTTTCAACTAGCCTCTTCCCCATTCTACTCTGTAGCCACCTGAAATATGCAAAAACCACTACAATATTTTAAAGTAATTAGCCTCCAATTAATCAAAATAAACAAACAAAAAAAATTCCAACCACTCCCTCCCTCAAAGCTCTTCAGTGCTTTCTGCTGCCCTCAGGACAGCGCCAGACCCTTAGCACCCAAAGGCAGGCCCTAAGTTAGTTCACTTCCTCCTCCTCATGTCCTCCTGGTCCTCTCAAAATGTACAACCCAGCCATTGCAGCTCCCAGTGCACCCCATGCTGAATCACACTCCTGTGCATTTTCTCATACTAATCTCTTGACCTGAAAAGGCCCATTCCCAGTACTGCCCATCTTAACCTCTGACTCGATCTTCGAGATCTCACCTTTGCTCACATATCATCTCCTACACACTTTCCCCTGAATCAGGGCACAGGGCTCTCTCTCTTGTCCCATGGCCCTGCATTTCCACATAAGAACTTCATGTCTGCATGTGGCTTCCTGCGCTGCTCCACTGTGGTGACTGAATAGCAGTTAAGTGCCTTATCCATCTTTACCCCCAGCATGGAGCCTGTTACCTGGTGCCAAGTGGATGCCCCGTCTGATTCCCTACCTGGTCAGGAGACTTGTCTCCTGTCCCAACAGACATCTTTCCACTTCTGATGTCCACCAAGACTTTCCCCACTCTAATACAGTCTGCAGGCCTGCTAGGCCGGGAATGAGTAGCTGTGTCACCTCTTAAAATTTTAACTTGTGACTGGTGGGCAGGTTGGGAGTCTAAAATAAAAGGGCGCTCACTGCCCTGCTCTGGTTACAAAGATTGGGGGTGGGGAACAATCCCTTGAAGCCCCTCCCATTTCCTGCTCCACCTCAGCTGGAGCCTCAGCCAGGAGTCAGAGAGGAAGCTTTTTCCAAAGAGGGTGACGAGCAGAGGGCGAGCGAGCCAAAATGGAGCAACTGGAATGCATATTTTGGCTTTTAATGGCATACATGAACACTATGAAGTCAAGGATTTTTATATTTTCACTGATTTCTAGCATCAAGAACACAGCCTGGCCCAGTGGGTGACCATGAATACTTGCATGATGAGTGGGTTGTGACGCTTTTTCCATTACCTGCTGTGCTATGCTTAGCTGCGTCTGACTCTGGAACACCATGGACTGCAGTCCACCAGGCTCCTCTGTCCATGGGGATTCTCCAGGCAAGAACACTGGAGTGGGTTGTCATGCCCTCCTCCAGGGGATCTTCCCAACCCAGGGATCGAATCCAGGTCTCCCGCATTGCAGGTGGATTCTTTACTGTCTGAGCCACCATGGAAACCCCTTTTCCAGTATGCATTCTCAAACTTCAAAGCTTGGCTGTATACTGGAACCAGCTATACATGCTGCTGCCATAACTCCCTACAATAAAGGCTGGGTGGAAGAGGACAAGAAAAAGGCCTGGGCTGTGTATGGAACAGAGAATATTCCCAACATCTGTGGCAAGCCGGGTCTATAAGAATGAGAGGCCTAAGTGGGGGTCTTTTTTTTAATTGATACCTAGAGCAGAAACTTAATCCTGTTCCACTCCCAGCCCTAAGAACAAGAAGTCAACAGCACCTCAAACTCAGCTGTAGCCTTGAATTCCACACACACACACCAGAAAAGGTTAAGGAATTTTCTTTATTTTTTACAAATTAAGACTATGTAGATTTCATATATTTCTGAATCAAAAACACCTTTGTCTTCACAGTATGAGTTAGAGAATGCAGCCTGAGCTGAAAACCAAGGAACTAGAAAAGAAAGTGATAACTACAGTGATTACTGTATTAAAAACCTGTTAGGCATTTTCTTTAAAAGTAGTTTTTTATATCTTGTCATTCTTGGCACTGTTTCTAAAGAAAAACTCCTTTAATCCCAAGCAAAAAAGCACAAGAGGTGGAGTTTGGCTTCAGGAGATGTAACAGATGCTCAGGCCTAGCAGAGAATCAACAAATTTATGGAGAGTTGCTAGTGGGGGGTTGATAGGAAGGAAATCCCTTCTGGTAAATTCTCAAGTGACAGGCTGGGCACAGCAGCTCAGAGAGCAGTATCCTCTGCAGAAGCCAGCCATTCTTCCGGGTGGCATGCCACTCCAGGAACCACACAGCCTGCCAACACAACTGTCTCCTGGGGTACAGTGATGTGGTACACTGTGAGCCAGCAGCCACTGGGTCAAACTGTATACTGGCTGTGAACAGGGAAAGCCAAAAATGGTATCCTACGAGCACTGAGTTTTCGATGGCTCCAGCCCTCCTTAGGCTGAAACTCTGTGAACAGCCAGAGACACCACCACTCCCAAGGTTGCCTGCCCTTCTGTGCCAGCTGACTGTGGCCGCTCTCGGGGAGGAGCTGGTGACCCCCGTTAGTACTGTCCCCGACACTTGCAAACACAAAGTTGCAGGAAACCAGAGGTTTGGTCACCTGGCCCCTGCCTAAAGGCAGCTGCAGATTTCTAGAAACCGGTGAACAGACCAAAACCTAAAAGTGCATCTGTAAAACAGACATTTATCGACTGCCCCAAATCTCTGGCCTGACACTACTTATTAGTGCTTGGGTGGGATCAGACAAAAATGCACCTAAGGACTGTTCTGAACGCGGCCTCCGGAGTCATCACAGCTGGTTCCCCTGGTCTGAACAAAGATGCAGTTAGTGGAGATTTTGCTCTCTCCTGCCTCAAGCGGGTCCTTATCTGGGTTTGTCTGGCAGGATTAGTTACAATCACCCTAGAGGCTCAACCATGCCCCTTTTTTATCCTTCCTCTCCTGGGATCCTTAATCATAGTCACCTAATAGAGGCCACTCAGTAATTAAGATAGTGATCAAAAAAAAAAAAGACTGGGACAGTTTGAATTTTCCATATCTTGCCATACATAACCAGCCTTTCATAAATGCCTGACAAGAATTTCCCTTTGTACTGAAATCCTCCCACCCCATGGATGGAAAGCAGGCAGATTCCCTGAGGATCAGATAAGGGATTGGGAAGGGAACACACACAAATCCACATTCCTTTTGTGATAGCAAGGCAGAAAGGTGTGTTTGCCAGACCAGCAGTGACTTGGGCAGCTCAGAGGAAGCTCAGCATCCACCAGAGGAGGCTTTTCGTTTTCCTTGTAGGGGCTGACAGCTCAGATACAATAAGCCCAAGTAACAATGGGACCAGCAGTCTTTCCAGTGGAAAACACACTGCCCAGTCCCACAGGAACTGTGCACAAACCAAACACGGCTGAGGAAGGAAGGGCCGAGGCGTCTTTACCAAACAGTCTGGGTCCACTTGGTGAAGCTTGGCCGGAGAGCGGACTCTTGGAGTTTGCCTTTGCTGCAGACCCCGCTCCTTATCACGGTGGGCTGGCTGCCTGAGCAGAGGAAGAGGCTGGGCATGGGGGCTGTCAGAAAACGGGGGCGGGGAAAAACCCCAGAATGCGAAGCCAAACTCCAAACTATATTCTAATCAGTTTTTTGGATCAAAAAATTCAAAATAGAGAAAACCACAAAGTACAAAAGCTTTTCTGATGCTTTTCATTATCACAGAACACGCCACCTGTAATGTGTGCAAAGAGGAAATGAGGGGCTGAGGGAGAGGAAGTCAAACTGGGGAAGGCTGGATGGCTGCTTCACTTCTTCTTCTTCTTATCCTAGAAATGGAGGAAAACGGCCTAATTAACTTCTGGTGTTGACAGTTAAGCTAAAACTCTTGAGTGAGCCAACAGCTGACTGACTTTGATTAGGTAAAGTAAGACGGAAAGAGAGAAGCTACTTTAGTGTAGGAGGAGCTAAAGCTTAACAGTCTCCTGCTGGCGGTCCCCCAAATTGCCAGACTTGACAAGAATAAAGGCTACACACTTGCTCCTGCTTCTACCCCATGTGAAGCTAGGTGTGCTGCCTGACCTCCTGGCAGCTCAGATCCCAACCACCAAAAGCTGCAGACTGGCAGTCTATCCTAAAAGAACTGAGAGGCCAAGACCAACTTTCCATTAGGCCTGAGACGGAAACATAAATCCTGGGCATAAGCCAACATTCAAAATGATCCAGTCCAGCCAAACTCTTCACTGCACTGGGGTGGAGGCCCAGTGTATAATTACATGATAGAAAGGCGAGTTGTTTGGACTGAAACTAGGAGACCTGCTCAGTCCATTCGTGGCACAGACGAGACAGAAGACCACAAATCCCATCCAGTTACGAGCATCTACCACTACTGCACTGTCACTTGTTCCATTTTAAGTTCTGTAAAGAAAGGCTTGTGCTTTCAGCTGTTCCCCTACTACTGGAGTGGACAATGTTTGCCCCTCACTAACCCTACATACAATTCCTCTCTTGGGAAAAAAAAAAATTAGACCAACAAATGGATAAAACTGGCCTATTTCTGAAATAAAGATAAAAAAAAGCTGGCTGTCAATATTATCCAAATCCTCTAGGATATGTCTTTTTGAGTCAAAGCTATCTTTGCAGCCTTTAAATTCTTCATATATAGTAACTGTTTCTTGCTGCCAATGAAGCTCTTTTCCTTCTGATACTAATCTTGGGGAGACATTTTCTAAAAAAAAAAAAAAAAAAAAACAGAATTGTCTTTACTTGTTCCTTTTTATCCAACAGCTAACGACTTCTAGTTTAACTCATATTCAGCAGCTGCCTTACAAGTACCCTGGACCCACAAATAGTGTGAGCACGTTCTCAGGTTTGAAGGACACATGGATGTTGAGCTCAGGAGCCAGTCCTTCCTCTTCGGGTGGTGCTAACCTTCTCACTCATAGCCAGGATCATCATGAGCTTTCTGAAGAGAGTTACGAAATCTAAGAAGAGGTCAACACAGTGCCTGAAAGAGAAGAACCAGGTTACAAACTGCACGTCCCACTTGTCTTTATCCACAAGCCCACAAATGTACAGGACATAAAAACCTCACCCCAACCCCAAGAGTCAACCTCACCAGCACCCTACCACCAACTAAGTAAAACTCTATTGTCTGAGACCCACTTTAACTCCGTGAAGCCATGGAGCACAGAAAAAAGAAAACTTAGACTGAAGAGGTTTAAGTCTGAACCCTGAACCACCTAGAGACTATGAGAGGATTACATTTAAAAAAAAAATTATATACATATCTTCTTCTCATTGTTAATGGTTTAAAGACTACAACAGTATAAAGAGTAAAACATGGAAGATTCCTCTCCCTCTCGTCTGCCTAGGGGTAATCACTATTCAAAGTAAGGATAATTAAATACCTATCAATAGTCCAACTTTTAAAAATCTGATGTCTTTCAGGAACTGAGAAAGACAATGCTTTCTGATGCATAATTCCAAAACCCTGGATGTTCCATCATGTATACCCTTGTAGGTTGGCCGCATAAGTAAGCCAGTGCCACCCAGTAAACTCTTATTCCTACCAATGTGCCAAGAAAGGTGAGTCAGACAAAAGATCATCCCAGAGATTCAGAAAAGAGCCGTTGAAGAGCAGCCGCCTCCTCCGTACTTATTAAAGACTATTTTCACACTCACCAGATATAATCTTTATCTCCATTTTCAGCCTTTTCAATAATGAGTTGAGTATCAAAAAGGACAAAGCCACACATGACCACCAGCCCCAAATACAGGTTTGCCTGGCAAAAGAAGAATGAGACATTACCATGTGGTAGACATTGCAGAGAAAAACAGCCATACCTCTCTCTAGTCCTTGGTCACTTCAAAGTACATCAAACACTAACCCTACAGACATCAACATTCATGGAAACTGAAGCCCACAACGAAGACCGTATTACCTTCCCAAGCACAATTCTGCACTTTTTTTTTTTTTAGGTCACTGGAAGAGCTTCAATCATTTTAACAAGAAGCCACTGCTGGACTGGTTTTAGAAAAATGACTTCTGAGCAAACCATCATCTCCATTGCAATGCCCAACCCCTGTTCAGTCTGTACTTTGACCTGCGGCAGAAGGCTCCACTCTGGGAGGGTGAGTGGGGAGGCTTCAAGAGCACTGCTCCATGAAGACAGAGTTTTGGGGATTCCTAGTCTATCCTGGTTTTAGGGGATTAAGCAAGAGAAAGAAACACAAGGTAAATGGGAACTGGAAAGTTATATGCAAATCTTACCTGGAAAAGCCAAACAGATCCGAAGAAAAGGTTCCCCAGGGAAGACAAGAGCATCAGGCTCATGGCCGACATCAAGATACCTGGAACGGAAGACAAAGAGCCACCTTGAGAAAAGCTAACACAAAGTTCAGCAATCTCATTAAAGCCATTCTTTACTTTCCCCCCAAAAATAAAGGCTTTCATTTTCAACCCAACAGTTACAAGTTGGAGGGAGGCAAAGGGCCCCAGGAGAATTTTGGCTAAAGCAGAAACCCTCTTCCTGTTTTCCAGCCCATACATACCTCCTAGAAAGAGGTAGCTACGGCGCCTGGCATAGAGTGCACTCAGGGTAAAGCAGGTGAAGATCATTGCTGTGCCCATGAAGGCAGTGGGAAGGATGCTGTTAAAGGAAAAGACCATTATATCAAGGGCTACAGGTATATAACCTTTGTTTAGAAGGTATCTTCATTAAGGTAGAAAGACCTAAGACACTACTAACATAGTTACCTGGGGTTGATGGCAATGCACAAGTCCAGAGCAGGGCCCAGGCCAACTCCTAGAAAACAAAAAGCCCCAGAACACAGCATAAACACCAATTCTTGAAGAATTTTAATAGCATGGGTACACCTACAGTCCTAAAAAACAAACATGTGGACTAAGATAATTCAGTTTCCCTCCCTTCCATCCTCAACCGTTTTCCAGAGAACGTATACTTGACTGAGCTATTTATGGACAGAGCTGCAATACCAAGTCCTTGGATGAAAATCATGGATAAGCCAGGAAGAACAGAGATTAGGAAAAATGAAGCAGGCATTTCAAACATTGTCAAGTCAAACTGTAAGGCTGAAAAACTCTGAAGAGCAGTGATGTGAGACTGTAATGTGGGCCAGATCGGGAATCAGAATAGAAGAAAAGGATAATGAGCAAAGTGGTGAAAAGTGGCCAACAACCTGTAGTCATGCAGACTGACTGCCTGTGTAGCAGAAAAGGCCATACCGGTTAGGCCAGACTGGTTCTGCAGGTGGACACTTGCCAACAGGAGGGAAATGTGTCCCAGCTCCAACACTTCCTCTGCTCTGGCCATGCCCTCTCCTTCTGCTCATCCCACCTCTTTAACACTTTCAAAACCAGCTTTTCCTGATCTAAAAATCTGATCTCTAAATCCCTTCCTTTCTACAATTTCTTCAACACTGTATAGATTAGACACACTCAGAACAAGTTGTATTAACTCAAATGTTGCTCTGCGAGTATTTTTACTGTGTAGCTTGAACTGTTTTCCTTAATGACTGTTCTAGAAGAGCTGTGCTTGTACTTTTTTTGAGAATCAGCAAAGTGCCCTGTAGGATGAATCTCGACGTATGGCTTTAATGAACTGTCTGCAAGATTCAGAACAGATGCGCCTACGAAAGTTGTCAGCATTGAGTCCTTAATTAAGTCAGATTCTCAGGCCGCTGTTTAGTCCCATGTCCGCTGTTAACAAGCTATGCTACCTAAGCTCTTAAACTTCATTCATTCAAGCACATAAATGCATATTTTTGGATACAAAAGTAGAAATCACAGTCACGAGCCACAAACAGCTTACCCGCTGGATGGGGGAGCAAGATGAACTTATATGAAATAAGAAAGTAATACAAGGCACACTCAAATACAAGATAGAATAATACAGTATGCCAGTTGGGGTGCATCAGAATACATATGTATCGCAGGCCTTGGTCTAAAGAGATACTAAAATACAGTGTCCCTCCCTCAAAATCAGAGCCATCCCACACATACCTGTAAGGAAAGCAAATCCAGCCAGAAGTCCCAGTCTTTTTTGCTTAGTTTCATGGCTGTGAGGTGTTGCCATCAGCCAAATCATCAACCCCAAAGAGCCCAAGGCAGACAGCAGGCCAGCCTGTCAGATCCAGAGTCAATAATTAGATACTTGAAAGTATCAAATTTATCTTGCAGGAGACTTTATTGGGTTAAAACATTCACCTGAACTTCCTAATATTTGATCCTAACCTGGAGGCAGTGGAAAAGGCAGTGAAGGCAGAGGAGAAAAACCAAAAGCCTTGTGGGACAGGGTTAGGACCATGATGGATGCTGGAGGCAGTCCATCAACTATAACTACCCAAGTCAAATTATGAGTCTTGCCCAAGAAATAGAAAAGATGAATCAAAATGACAAGTGCTTAAAGAACATTCCAATCTGCAGAATAAGTAGGAATGACCTCTTTTTGATCCCTTTAAAACATACACACACAAATATACTTAAAGTGAGAGAGAAAGAAGAACTGAACGACTGTGTACCCCCCAAAACTCATGTTTAAATCCCAATCCCCAATGTAATGATATTTGGAGGTGGAGTCTTCAGAAAGTGATTAGGTCGTAAGTGTGGAGCTTTTGTGAAGGGAGATTAATGATCTTATAAAAGATTCCAGAGAGCTCCTTTGCCCCTTCTACTATGTGGGGACACAAAAGGTGGCCGTTTACACAGGAAGCAAGCCCTCACCACACAACAAATCTGCTAGTGCTTTGATCATGGAATTACCAAACTGTGAGAAATGTTTCTTTTTAAGCCACCCAATTTATGGTATTCTGTTATAGCAGCCTGAAAGAACTGAGACAGAGTAAGAACCAATATGTTAAGAATTATTTTAGGGTGATGGGATTACAGGGTTTTATATTTCCTTCTTATAACGAATCTGTTTTCTAAATTCTCTATGGTGAACATGCATTAGTTTAAGAGAAAAAAAATTTTTTTAAAGCAAATGGGAAAAGTAACAGGCAATAGAGACAGAGAAAAATCATTAAAGATGTATGCAGACACCGAAGTTCCTTCCTTCTTTTAAAGGTAGAGTCGATCCTCAGTGTTCACAGTAGTTACGTTCTACACAGTCACTGTGAGCAATGAATCAGTGATACCCAACAAATGCTCCTGGAGGAAATAAAGGTTTAAGTTCTTTAGAGCATCTTGTCAACGTTTTTATCAACTGGTCTAAATAAAATACAAAACCTTACTGAATGTGTTTTTTGGTTAAAGACACTTGGGTATGTAGTAGTGACTCTTTTGCACAGAACTTGTGCTTAGCGGCACTATAATTCAGGCATGAATAAAGCTTATCTAACACACGTATTTTCTCTAGAAGGCACATCACAGTATCGCATTGAGCAATACCAGACATTATGCCTGGGGCCATTATAAACATCAAAATCACCACGAAAAATGATAAAAATGCAAAAAATGTGGCACTAAATAGACTATGAAAAGGACACTTGTTGACAGTATGAGAGCTTGAAAGAAGGCAGTGTTGCTTTGTTCAACCTCAGCTAGAACATGGTGCAGTGGACAACTCGAATTTTTTGCCACTCTGTGTACGGCTGTAAAAGTCCACAAAAGCACCACAAGGGTTGATTTTAGAGTTACAAATGAATCTTGGCAAGTAGGTGAATTCACAAATATGGAATCCACAAATAAAGAGGATGACTGTGTTTCACTTAAAAAAACCAACACGACTAGAAACCAAAAGGGCTACTGTAGCCTAAAAGGTACAATGTTTTGGTCTAAACTCGAAGGATTAAAGCTCTATTTTTGAGTGTCCAAAGTAATTTTTCACACAGCTTCTGCCAGGAGATGCCTGAGCACAGGGGTGTCTGAGCATGCCACTTCCCAGCTGTGGCAAATGCCAACACAAGTACATCTTCATATTTACACTAAAAAGGACAACTCCAAAAGGGACCAGTCTTTGTTAGTGAGCCTCAAACTTCCTGGTTATTCCTCAACTGTTCCTCTTATTGCTGCTAGCCAAACTCAAACTCTCCCTCAACAGAGGAAAATGAATGTTGTATCATAGAATAAAATGGACCAAGTCCTTAAAGGTCTCAACCCTGTCTCTCCTGGAAATTAAACATACAATCAGCGTTTTGTATCCAAGTACTCCAGTCATTCAGGCAAAAAGAGGAAGAATGGAAGAACAGATAGAAAGGTTACTGTGCAAAGTCACCCCAGCATGCACGTCAAGTCTCTACTCAGTGGGTGGGGGCCTCCTACGTCAGCAGCTCAGCCTTCAGTGTCAGGGTCAAGACATCCTGTTTTCAGTATCTAGGGAGGGCATAACTGCCAGAAAAAGTAAATGGCTCTGCTTGTCCTGATTTGTGACCGGTTTTGGCTGGGCTTTCCTGATAGCTCAGTTAGTAAGACCCCTGTTCGATTCCTTGACTGGGAAGATCCGCTGGAGAAGGGATAGGCCACCCACTCCAGTATTCTTGGGCTTCCCTTGTGGCTCAGCTGGTAAAGACTCCACCTGCAATACGGGAGACCTGGGTTTGATCCCTGGGTTGGGAAGATCCCCTGCAGAAGGGAAAGGCTACCCACTCCAGTATTCTGGCCTGGAGAATTCCATGGACTATCTAGTCCATGGAGTCTACAAAGTGTCGGACATGACTGAGTGATTTTCACTTTCACTTGTCTGGGTGCAGATCCCAAAATACTGAAAAGGATTAAGGAGAGACACAGGCTTGTACCACTCTGCTGAGCTAGTTTCTTCCTAATGCAATTTATGCCACAGCAACTAGAGAACTGCTCTTACCTGAATGAAATGGGTGACCACATGGACATAGGCCCCCGCAGCCGCCACAAACATACAGAGGGCAAAACTGGCATAAACCTTCTTCAGGTGCTGCTGTGTCGAGGGGGTTCTAGGAAAGAAGGTTAATAATGGCCATCACTCTAGGACCAATCTATTTTCTAAGCTAAGGATAATTTCCCTTCTTCTCAGGAAATATATGAAAGTTTTAATACAATAAAGAAAAAATAGAAAATCTTAAATTCTGAGGAAGGCCCCAAAGCCCCGAATTAGCAATCAGTACCCAAACTATAATAACTAACTGGCTTTCCAGTGACCACACAGCAGCCCTTAAGAGTTTGGATGCTTTTATCAGATCCTCTGGACTCTAGCAAAGTTAATGTTAGTTCATACATGCAAGTTAACACACCAGGAAAAGGAAAAGAAAAAAGATAAAAAAGGAAACGTAAAAGGAAGCACAGTCAAGGTCAAAGCACTTACATGTGGGAAAATTTAAAGAGTGCATCAAAGTTGATCTTCCGATCAAATATATTCATGATGCTACTGTCTGTGGGACACAGCCTCCGCTCTGTAGAATCAAGGACATAAGAAAAGTTATCTGAAAGATACAGGGACACACAACATAACAAACAACTTTCTTTTAATTTTTTAAAAATTTATTTACTTTTTACTAAAGGATAATTGCTTTATGGAATTTTGTTGTTTTCTGTCAAACGTCAACATGAATCAGCCATAGGTATTTGTTATGAAAAACAGCAACATACGACTTTGGAAAAATGAAAGTTATCTGAAAATCCCACTGCCCTAACACAACCATTTTCATTTTTACTATTTCCTTCTAAAATACATTCGCAATCATATGCAACCAATTTAAAGGGGAGAAACTCATCTTCTGCCCACACTGTTTCATTACCAGCAATCGATTTCCATTTTTTCAGCAGGTAACTTGCCCCTTTAAAAGACATTTTGTTTCTTTGAGAAACAAAGAAGGAAACTTTTTTTAAGTTACAATCCCCAAACTGACTTCCTGAGGAATCCTGGGCCGTCCTTAAGAGTTCACACCCATTGCTACCATTTGTTTCCTGAGGTTCTCTCTCACAAATGAAAACAACTACAATGACTGGCTTGCTGCCTCTGATTTCCTCTTTCCTTTCTTACCAGCATCCCTACTCACCTTAATAACGCTGTCAGATTTGTTCTTAAGGATGGATACAATGAGAAGCTGAAGAACCTACTAAAGCCATTCCTCTCACCTCTAAGTCACGGGACTCTGGCCCTCTTGATCGAGATGGTGCAATGATTGCAGGCTGTTGCACGGCCAACCACAGCCTTCCATAACCATGATGAATAGGCCCTCTAGAGAACACACTTACAGGATGGCAGAATCCAGTATCTGGAAAGTGTCTTTGTTTAAAGCTTCCATTAAGTGCCCTAATGATATCCCTAGATAGAACTTGCAACAGCGCTGAAGCAACCTTCAGAGCCAAGCTTCCCATACTCATAACAAAGCTAGACTGCCACTTGCTTCTAATTTCAAGAATTAAAGGTGGGGATGGGGAGGGGGGTTAAATCCTCAAATACCCTGGAGGTTGTTAGTCAGAAAGGGGCAACATTCTGTAACTAGACCCCAATGAGTGGAAATCGTGGGAGGGGAGAATGGCAGTTTGCTCTTTGGCATTTCCCAAGAGGTACTGACGATCTCTCTTAAAACTGCTGATGGAAAAACCAAAGTCATCAAAGGTTGTTAACATCAAAGGAGGTGTCAAAGAAGAATTTCTCCATGATTTAGTGTCTTGTGATTTAAAATCATTAAAAAATTAAATAAAACTAGTTTTCTACCATTACTATCAACTCTAAATTTTTTAAAATCAACTCTAAAATTTAAGTGAAATACGTAATTATCAAATCTTCTAAATGCAAAGGTAAACAGCAACTGTAGTAGCAATTTTATGGGGAAAATGCAATAAAGTAAACATTTAATAAATATGACAAGGTGTATATGACAACTTCAGAACTGTTAAAATCAGAGGGGAGAGAAGTTAGTACTTAGAATCAAGGAAACATGACAGTTTCCTCTTGGTCTGTTCCCAATAGACACTAACATACAGACAAGTAATGAGTTAAAACTGTTCTTACAAGTTTTGCCAGAAAGACTAAACATGCCAGTTTTCAATCTTAGCCTTAACCACCTGTGCTCAGAAGCTGTAGAGAAAAGATACCTACATTCAATGGTTCCTGTGCAAACTCAGCTGAACAAGATTAAATTGCATTCATAACTCAAAAATAGCTCCCATACCAAAAGTATTTTCAGTCCCAGGAACAGTCAGTTCTCAGCCCAGCTTGAAGTATTCAAAACCATTAACCAAGTAAACTCAGTTAACATTCTAGAGTACCCCCACAGGTAAGTGAAACTTGTTTTTTGTGTGTGTTTTTTTTTTTAAAGTGCAAAGAACTCCCTGGAAGTCTGGTGCGACTCCATGTTTTCACTGCCAAGGACCCAGGTTCAGGCCCTGGTCAGGAAACCAGGATCCTGCAGGCCGAGCGGCTCAATCAAAATAGATAAATAAAATGTAAAAGCATATTAAAATGATAAATTTTTATGTTATGTGTATTTTACCAAATAAAGGAGAAAAGTATACTACAAGTAACTGAAAAGGTACTCAGTAAAGGATTTCCCCTAACATACATTGAAACCCATTACAGAATGGATACCAGCACTGGTTTCTCTCTCTCTGAACCCCAACTCACACACAGTTCTACACTCCAATCTGAAACAGGAAGGTGGACAGTGCCTCTGAGACTCATGGGAAATTTGCCTGCACTGCATTTGTAAATAGAAGTAAATTTGTAAATAGAAGTAAATGGTCAAGTGTTAATCATAAACAAATTTAGAGACTCATTTTATGCTTTCATCCTTAGAAAGGCAGAATACCAAAATGTGTCAAAATTGGTCATGCATACATTGCTCAAGCTTTATTGGAAGTCACTATCTGAGGTTTCCCAGGTCAGCCTCTCTGCCAGAGGCACCCAAAAACATTGCATAGTTCTACCAAGAAAGAAAAACTTAAGCAAACACATTGTTTTGAGTCATTCATGAGGTCTGCTTTGGTTTGAGGAAGGAAGGGCAGCAGGGGCAGGCAGAGGGAGACAAGAGTCAGATAGTCTTATCAATGAACATCTATGTGTTCTCACATACTGTTAAATCTCCTGTTTTATTCTAAGAATCTTCCTTAACCTGTCCTAAAACATATTATCAATAGCCAAGCCTTAAGTTAAAAAAAAAAAAAATTCTCCTCAATCTTATTCTAACACCTATTAATGCATGAATGCATTCATTAAATGCATTCATTCATTGCATTTGCACAATGCAAATGAAACATGACCAAGTGGCCAAAAGCTATGCAAAACAATCATGCATTTAGCATTCACTTAAAAAAAAAAAATCCTTGCCTTCGAAAAAAAAAGTTTGCTGCCTTTTGGAGCCAGCAGAGAAGCTGCCTCAGTATATACAATTTAACAACATTAAACCAACAAGTCAAAGAAACATTGGTCACACATTTATTTAAACATCCAATGCGTGAATTATATGGTTCTTCATTCCTGTTGTAGTAACTCAACCATCTTGAATCCTGTTCCCACACACCCAAAAGGATCTGATTGATACTTAAGAAAAATCTCACTTGGTTAAAAAAAAGTGGGGGGGGGGGAGTGGAGCAGTAATTTTGTTAGCAGTTCTTCCTACTGAATAGCTTGTAGACTCTGTACAACCATGTCCCTGGAACAGTGGTTAAGATGGCCAGCTGCTTCTGAACCCTGGCCACTTGATGCAGCAAGTTTCTGGCACTTAACCTCACTGTGCTTCAGTTTCCTCTTGTGTAAAATAGTAACACTTAATATCCCCTACTTCACAGGAATGAAGACTAAGTGAAAGAATACAAATAAAGTGCTCAGAGTAGTGGTTCACAAGTAAGACCAGCTCAGTATGTTAATCATTGTTGTTACTAGTGTAATTCATTACTCTCATAGCCTCAGTGCATGATTTCCCTTTAAAAAAAAAAATGTTTAGACTCATTTAACAGATGTTCCAAACACACCCTTCACAGGGCTACAGGTGGTGGCTTTCCCTTTTTAAAGTCTAGTTTTAGAAGACATTTATCTTAGCCCTAATTTATATACACTCTTTATTTTACTTAAAAAAAAAAAAAATGATCCAATCATTAATGCATAGCTATATCCTGAAGGCTTAACAGTTACACAGTGAGAGAGTAAAATTAAATGGCAGGAGGGGAGAGTCTAGGAAAATTATAAACTGGAACTGAAAGGAACGTGGTTAAGCTTACTACTGATTAAAAGGTTTAAATGGCATGTCTCTCTGCTGGTACATTTACACTGTCTCTCCTGTCCCCCAGGACCACAAAGGTGTTTTGAGACAGCCTAATAACCACTAAGTGATCGTCTGATGTGGAACAGAATTTGATGAAGTAAATGGTTATTTATTAGCTTGATGTTTTCCTTGCCACCCCTAGGAGACAGGTCAGTTTGGTTTCATGAAATCCAAGAAATTCTGTCTCGGCTAGGGCTGAGCTTTGATTGTCCTAGATTTGGATTCCAGATGTCCCAGCCCATTCCTTAACTTGGACCAAAATTCCTGGATCAGGTAATACTGCATCTCTCAGAGGCTGCCTCAGAATCTAACAAGTAACTGGAGATGGAATGCCTATTGCCTTCAATAAATTATTTTTTTGCATCAAGCTGACACATTAAATCTCCCTCACTATAAGCACAATTGTTTGACAGACACTGAATCGTTAGAAGGTCTCAATGTCCTAAATACATAATCATCCTCCAGTATAAACCAGCAATCCCTCCCCAATAAAAACCATATTTAGCCCAAGTGAGAGAAGGCACAGATTAGGACGAAAGGCACACTGACTCAACCCTAATTCCTAAAGATCTTTTCCCCCCAAGTGTTCTGAATTCCAGTTAATTGTGCAGGAACTTCTCTCACACATTTTGTTGTAATCACTTTAACAGCCTGCATCTGATTCATCTCACTACCCCCCACACTTAAATCTCCAGAGTAAATCTAGATGCTATCTAATGAAGCGTCGCAACCACACATCAACATTTCCCAGCTGGCTCAGAGAGGAACTTACCTTAAAGGGTCATTCAAGTGGCCCTAAAAGCCAGTCTACAGTTTTTCTCTCCTTGGTTTGAATACTGTTTTTGAAAACAAAAATGTGTATGTATAATATAAAAGCTACTCCATGCAATTTGGTTAGTAACTCTAGAGGAGAGCAAGGTGGAGTGAAAGACATTTCTACCAGATTCTACACCCAAATCAAAGTAGCAAAGGAAAATTTAGCACGATAATGCATCAAGAGAATATTCAGTGTTTTCTCAGGAGACTAATACCCTTGAGTAGTTTATGAAATAAAGTGAAACTCTTCACGCCAGCAATGGTACCTCCTGTAACAGTATCACTGACTGCATTTATATAAAACTTCACAACTTTCAAAGCATTTTATTATGTACATTATCCCCTTTGATCATCATACACATGAAGAAAGGACAAGAATGATTAGTACCACTCTAAAGATTAAAAAGACAGTTCAAAAAAGTAGCATAATAGCATCATGAGCACTGGATTTGAAGTTACATATTCTACCACATAACTTTGGGGAAATCACTTTACCTAAGGTCATCTAGACTTCCTCATCTGTGATAGCATGATGATTAACACTTTCCCTACCAAGCTCACTGAATGCCAATAAGAAAATCTCTGTGAAATTACTGTAAAGTATTAAACACTACAGTGGACATTAAACAGACATTAGTGCTGACAAACATCAGAAAGTTAAACAGTAGAGCCAGGACAGGTTGGGGTAAACTCTAGTGCTCTTTATACTATTACACCCTACAGCAGAAAAGCAAGTTTTCCTTAAAGCAGTTTCAGCTGCCGGTCAAGAGAAATTGTAAAACAATGACAACAAACATATCCTGATTCCTCTTATATGTTTCTCTATTTTTCAGCATTTCTACAATAAGTATGAACTATACACATATTTCAGGAAAAAACCTGGAAATGGCTGACCAAATATCTGGATTAATTTTACCTTTCTTATTCTTTAGGAGAGTGAGACTTCAGTTGGTCAACGGGGGGAAAGGGAGAGAAGGAAAGAAAGAGGGTACTAAGCCGGGTTTCCACAACAAAATAATGGAAAAGGAAAACACTGAATCCAAGTTACAGACTGCACTTCTCAAGGATTCAACCATTCTGACTCCACTGGAGGAAAATGGCAGAAAATCTAAATGTCAACATACTCTTGAAGCAAGGACAAAAAAAACATTAGACGAGGAAGAAGAAAACACCGAAGAGAATAAGTCAAATAATTACAGAAAGGTGTTTGCAGAACCCATAAGAAATAAGATTATGAAACGTTTATCTTTCCTGAACCTAATTCTTAAACTACACATTCAACCAAAAGATAAACTTAAAATAAATAAGTAACTAGAAAAGTCCATTTGCCGTTAACCTTTAACCTTGAAATTTCTGTCTATGTTTCAGGCACAGTCAGCTCTTCTGGATGATTACACATTCACAATTAACTATTGCTGGAACAGAGTCTCAAGTTCAGAAAGGTTTTTGTTGTTGTTTGGTCAATGAAAGGCTGATGAGGCAGGCAACGCAACCTGGGCAGGCACCGGGCTGCAATTCCTCACTTAATAAACACACAAAAATACCACAGCCCCAGCAAGTAGGTCCAAGGGAAAAAAAAAAAAAAAAAAAAACAAAACACAAAACTGCCCGATGACGCCTTTCCTGAGCGAACTTTGAGAAAGACGCCCACAAGGCCCAGGACCAGCAAAGCCAAAGTCACCTCACCTGTCCAAAGATAACCAATCAGATCAGAGCGGGGCTGCCCAGTGGGGCTGGCAAACCAGGCCTAGCCCTGATCTCTCCTCACCTCCCGCCTCTGCTGTTGACTTCCAAGTAACTAAGGTGCCTCGCGTGTCACAGAAGAGTGTGACATCACCCGCCCCGCCGTGACAGGGCAGCCTGTCGGACCAGGTACTCCCGAGTCCAAGCCCCTGCCCCTCACCCACAGGCGGCCTAGCCAGAGGCTTCCCGGCAGGCCAGCGATCGGTCGGGCGGGGTTGGGACGACCACAAACCCGTAAGGTTTCACTTTCATTCTCCTCCGAAGGAAAGGGGGGGGGGGGGGGGGGTGAGGAAACGCGCCCCGAATTCAAGGGATCGAGGCTAGGCCTAGGCAGTTTACACTTGGGCGGAGAAGGAGGGACGCGGCCTGGGCGGGGCAGGAAGGCCAAGAAGGGGACCTACGATAACATTTACGCGCAGAATCCCGCCTCAACGCCGCGCAAACCTCGCCCCCCGCCTCGCCCCTGCTACGGTACAGTTGCGCATGCGCGACTGTAGTTCCCTCTCTTCCCTCTCCGCCTATCTTTCCGGAGTCCAGCGGCCGAGCAAGGCCCAGTTCCCCCAGGATGCAGTCCCTCCGAAAACGGTGACTACTTCCACTCTTTCTCAGGCAATAACTGCTAACCTTCTTTCCATTTCTGACTCCCAGCCTGCGCACTCCTAGCTTCAGACATACCTTCTAACCCGCCTCACAGGAGCCCACACAGCTCTTCTAACACCGGATGTGCTTCTGACTCTCCCAGGGCCAGCTCCAGACTCTTTACCTTGCGTCCCCGCCCCTCGAAGGAAGCCCCGCCTCCGCGTCCGGCTTAAGGCAGTCCTCATTGGTTGCTGGTTGCACTTCTGCCCTTCCATTGGTTGTACGTGCATAAACAACGACTACTTACTTCAGAAATATTTGCTTAACTCCCTTGTCGATCAGGACTCTAGCCGCCAACCAGCGTCGTTGCAAAAGACCTCCGCCTTCTTCCTGCATAGTAAGGAAGGGTCGCGGTCCAAAGCCGCCTCTAGTGGACAAAGGGAAGAGGGCAGGCCCCACCCAAACACGGGGCAACTAATACAGTCTGCAAAACGCGTGAGGTAGCGCTGCAAAAGTGTCAGGATTCTGGTTTTAGGTTTGTCATGTAATGTTAAAGGGGAAAACAGATTCAGAGAGCACATAGAAAAACGCTGACACAAGGGCCAATTTACCGTGAATCTAGTGAAGCTTAAACTTCAGAACCCTTATGGAGGCTCAGTTAATTCTCTAGGGACGCGAGGAAGCCTTAACAGCCTCAGTCCTGCATCGGACGCACGAGCCCACCCTGAAAGTCCCTCTCTGAGCCTTAGTGGTAGATCTGGGATCGTGGGCGGGGCCAGCGGGCTGCCAAGACCCCCTTCCCTGTCCACTTTGCTTCGGGGAGGTGGATATTATTAGTCCGATGGGTGGGAGGGTGGCTGGCTGTCTGAGCTGCCCTGTCAGCCCTGAAGAAACTAAGCCATGGGAGATCAAAGGGCTCGAGCTCTCCGAGGGCTCCTAAGCAATACTTGCGCAAGAACTTAGGAGTTATGAAACTGATTTTAAAAAGTTTCTACACTATCAGTTTTTTCCAGAACTATTTTTTTGCTAATTTATTTTTCTAATATCTCTGTAAAAATAATACAACATGGTCATACAAAGAGGCAAAGAGTATGCAGCCAAAAAAGTAGAAAAAAAGCTTATAGTGGTTTGCAGACAAGTTAATAATAATAATGTAATTGGTTTTTTTTTTTGGTTCTGTGATGTTTGTGGTTTTGTCATTATTTTAAAATCTGTAATGATTTATTAATATTCTCATTCTAAATAAATATTGACTTTATTACATAATTTTGTATTCTTTTTCTAAAATACAGCCCTACAGTTGTAGATGTTTGGGGCTGTACAAAACATAGATCCACCTCTGACCCTCATTTTACAAATAAGGAAACAAGCCCCTGGACAGAAAAGGTTCTCACAAAACAAGGGAAGAAATTTAGATTAAGCATTTCATCAGTGAATATCAAATCAGAATGAAAGATTTAGGAAACTACTTTCTAGAAGGATAGGTTATTTTTTCTTTTTTTTTCTTTGGCAGCATCTCTCTGATTCAGGGTGGAACCCGGGCCTTGGGCAGTGAAAGCATGGAATCCTAACTACTGGACTGACAGGGAATTTCCTAGAAGGGTAGAATGGTTATCTTTTTTCATAAAGAATACAAATGGGCAGGGTATGATTCTTGGAACACAAATTCAGATATGCAATAACATTTTACTTTTTGTAGTGCTACCTAATGTTTACTCTGAACCTTTTTCCATCAGAGTGGAAAAAAATATATTTTATCAGTCTTCCTTGAGATTTCTGTCCCTATCCCACCCTAATTTCTGTCACTTTTCTGGGGCTAAAGTGCTTGGGAACAGGGCCTCTGTGGTTCCGGTCTTCGATTTACACGGGTTGCTGCAGAAGTTTTTACATTTGTACTGGTGTCCTTTCAGGTATAGCAGTAGCTATTTTCTTGCCATACTTAAGGCACAAGAAACTGTTTGTCAAGCTAATACTGAATTATCCACCTAGAACAAGAGGTTGCTAAGAATTTAGCCTGAATGGTGTTTACTGACATAGGTTACTCATTCATTGAAGACATAGATTATTCACTCCATTTCTGGCTCAGGGTCTTTCAAGAGGTTGCAATCAGATGTCAACAAAGGATGCAGTCATCCAAAGGACTGACTGAAGCTAGAGGAATTACTTCCAAGGTACGGCTGACAATTTGGTGCTGGCTGTCAGTAGGAGGCCTTAGAAACTCTCCAACTGGGTTCCTTCTTAGGGCTGTTTGAATATCCTCACAGCTTGAGGCCTGGCTTTTTCCAAAAAGAGCAATCCCAGAAGCAGAGACAACTAGATGGAAGCCCTTTTTACAACTTATCCTCCCAGTTGCATAGCAATCACTTCCTTATAATAATACACTTAACTCCCAGAGCCCTGTCCCAAGTCTTGGGCCTCAGAGGGCCTCACGCTTTGGAGGGCCTTCCTAGAAATTTTCTAAGTCTTCCTCATGTGCCTGGGACCAATCTGGGCCAGTTATGCCATCAAGGTTCAGCCCAGATCGGGTCCTGCTGAGCTCTTGTTCAAATTTCTCCCCTTCATGGGATTCTCCAATTCCAAGCTGCCCAAGGAACTCTGGAACTCATGCCTATAGCATTATCCCAAGGCCCTGTGATCAAGTCTCCATCCCAAGAGGGGAGCCTGATCACTCTTGCTGGCCAGGACTGTATTTCTTTCGTGGAATCCATGAGATTGGATTTCCAGGATCATGATGACATGCCTACTTGGGGGTCAGACAGAAGATGAACTGAGGCCTCTGGGCAGCCAAGAGTCTTCTACTAAGCCTTGGGCTCGAACTGTGTGTATGGGTCCCTGTATTGATCCTTTCCTGTCCATGTTCTGACTGTGGAGCTATGTGTGGGCCATAGAACTAGAGGAAACAGAGTGACAGCAGGCATCTCTTCTGTACATCACCATGCACAAGCCACCCCCATCTCCCCCCACCCCCCCGACCACTGACACCCAGGGCGTTCACTCCATCTCCTTCAAAGACTGTGGAATGTATGTCAAGCAGTCCTCTGGGAGTAGCCCCACCTTTCTCCTCCAAGATCACTTCTGAGTGCTTTTAAAACTGTTGGTCCAAAAATAAAATAAAATAAAACAAACAAAAACTGTTGGTCCACAGTGTCAAAAGGCTCCTCCCAACTAATGTCCTCTTCTGTTTCTGAATGCTGTGATGATGCAGTGTTCCCACCCACATCAGTCTTAAGTCACGCCAAATGAGTGCACAAATGACATTACACCTCTTGTTCTATCCTTGATATGTGGAAGGTAGGGATGTGGTTAACATTGAAAGAGATCACAGTCTGAGAATGCTGGGGTTATGGTTTAAAGGGTGTAAGAGAAGACATGCTTAGAAGGGATGTTTATCCATTCATCCACTGATGTTTGGGCTATTTCCACTTTTTGGCTATTATGAATAATGCTGCTGTGAACAGTCATGTACAAGCTTTTGTGTGAAGATACGTTTTGATTTCTCTTGGGCCTGTTCCTAGGAGTGAAATTGCTGAATCTGGAGCCATAATTGCGGTAGTTTTTCTAAATTAGCCTTGAATGCTTGACATTTATCAACAGAGTAAGTCTATTCCCTCTCCCTTGGATCTGAACGAGCTCATGACTACTTCCTGGAATATAGAAGAAGTATTGCTGTGTGACTGCTAATGCTAGGTCATAAGATACCATGCAGCTTCTGCCTGTTTCTCTTGGAGCACTGTTTCTTGAAATACTCCCTGGAGACTCTCTTAGAACCCAACTACTAGCTTGTGAGTCTAAGCTACTTGAAGAGACCTTGTATAGGTTCTCCCATCAACAGTCTCAATGGAACCAACTTTTGAGTCATCCTAGCCCAGATGTTACACATGTGAACAATGAAGTCTTTGGATGATTCCAGCCTCCAGATGATTCTAGCAATTCATCTTCCCAGTTGGTACCCTGCTGTGCCCCGTCCAAACTCCTGTCTCATAGATTCCATAGGCTTAATTAAGTGGTTGTCGGTTTTCGTCATGGGGTGGCATGGACAAGTGTGTTCTTTCTACAAATCAGTGAGAAAAAGACCAAAACCAACATAAAAATGGGCAAAGGGTATAAACAGGCGGTTCATCCAAGAGAAAAACCAAATGGTCAACAGACAAAGGAAAGTATTCAGTCTCACTAGTATTTAGAAAAATTCCAATTGAAACAATGATAGACCATTTTATACAGATTGGCAAAATCAAAAAGTCTGATAACTCCAACATTTGTAAATAAGTGGAAAAACAGAAAATCATATGCTACTGGTGTAATGGAAAACTGTCATAAACATTTTGGGGAACAATTTAACAAGATCTAGCAAAGCTTAAATGAACATATCTCATAACTTCTAGGGATATATTAATATTTTAATGCATATGTATAAAGATACAAAACTAAGACTCTTCATTGCGACAAGTTAGAAACATGGTATATTTATACCATACATTCTCAACAGGGGCAATATCACCCTGAAAATGGTGAAAATTGGTTCTTAGGGGGCCAAAACTTAGGTGTGGTTTGTGAATTCCCCAAAGCTCAGTTCTATCCAATGAAGATCTTATTCCTTAGTACTTGTTTTCTCTTGTTGGAAGAAACTAAATTAAAATTATATGTTATTCATTTAATAACTGGTAGTTAACAAAATTTTCTCTTTGGGGAAAATAACGAAAGGTTGAGAAACAGATTTAGGCAGTGAAAAACCAGTGCAGCTGCTACAACAAATGTAGTAGATTTATATGTATCAACATGGACACATCTTGAACACAATATGAATGAAAACAAATTATATAATGTTACACCCAAAATGGTACAACTGACTTAAATATAAAGTAATACTCAGAATAGTAATGTATATATTGTTTAAATATTGGGTTGGCCAAAAAGTTCTTTGGGGTTTTTTCTGTCACATTTTACAGGTTTTAAAAAGTTTTTTTAAAAAACTTGGACTGTATAAACATTGGACTCTCCTGGTGGCTCAGATGGTAAAAAAAATCTGCCTGCAATGCAGGAGACTCGGGTTTGGAATCATGATAATAGGGGTCTCAGAGGATGCTTCATGAGTGAGATCAGGGAATGAAAGTTTTGATGTATTTATAACGTCCTATCTTTACGAGAAATTCTCTGAAGAAAAAGTTATGAAATCTTAACATTCGTTAATTATAACCAATGGGAATATGGGCATTTATTATTATCATCTGTGCTTTTTCTTTCCTCCCAAATTTTTCAAATTGAAAGAAAGTAAAAATTTAAATATTAAAAAAATTCCCATTTGTTTTAGGTGTGTGTGAAGTGCATATAACTGGGTCTGTGTCAGTGAAATCCAATTTAATAAGAGAATATGAATGGATGGAGCAGATAGAGTTTGCTTATAAAACAAATAGTGTTTTAAAAACTCTGCCTGCTTCACCCCATTCATATCATTCTCCTGGCCCTGAAGATATAGATGGGTTTACCTGGTCCAGAAACCCTCTGCTCTCAGGCCCCTACAGACCTCCCCTCCATCTTGTCTCTAATCCAGGGGAGGGAAATTCTTCTTGGTTTGGTGAAATGAAGGTCCTTCTTTTTTATCTGTCCAAGACACTATGCCCACGCCCTTGAGTACTTTGCCAATAAGCGAAATGCTTAGCAGGCATTATTTGTTCACCGATCCTGCTCTACTTGCCATATCTTCCACGAAGACAATAAGCATAAAGTCCACCAACTGCTTGATGGGGGGAAATAGGAGGAAAACAAAGGGAAAAATCTTAAAATGTGATTTAAAGCACTAGGCCATAGCTGCTGTTGAAGTACCTACTCTCTGATAGGCACTGGACTCTAGATCCTTTAAAAACATTGTGAAATTTAGGCTGACAGGATTCCTAAATTAGACTTTGTCTTCTTTACCCATTGCTTCTTTATTTGTCCATCTCACCGTTTACCCTTTGGTTCCCATTCTACCCACCAATGCCAAGTTCAGTTACATAAAACGCACCTCCCAGGAGGGCCTGGAACTTGACTTTTAGAAAGCACAGACATATTCTTTGGAAGTGACTCAAGGAGACTGTTTCCAAATAGCACAGAGACCCAGGGAAATGGCCATCACCCAGTCTACCTGAAGATCCTCCGAGTGTATATGTCCAACCTAAAGTTGAGGGAACAAAAGACCAGCCATCAGTTTACCTTGGTCTGGGAGGTTTCCCAGAATGTGGGACTTTTAGTACTAAAAGCAAGACAGGCAAATTGGGATGACTGCCAGCCCAACTTGGGACAGAGTGGAAGTTGTAGGACGGAGGGCTAGGCAGGGAACATGGCAGGAGAAGAGAAAGCTAAATGACCTCCTCCCACAACATGAATTTGAAGGAAAATTCTGTTGGGTTTCCAGTTATTTCAAGGAATGTAGATGTAACTAATGACCAAGAAGCAAAAGACCCCAGAAAGATTTCTTAAGCTTCATAACTTCCTCATATTTGTAGTGTTATTTTTTGTCTGTTTTTATTAGTGAGCAGAAGCAAAACACTTGTGATTATAGGTAAGTTTTTTCTGTTTCTGTTCTTTTTTGTTTGTTTGTCTTTGGCCATGCAGCACAGCTTGAGGGATCTTAGTTCCTTGATCAGGTACTGAACCCCGGGCCCAAAGCAGTGAAAGCGCCAAGTCCTAACCATTGGACTGCTAGGGAATTCAGGTAATTTTTTTTTCCTTTGCTTTCTATAATAATACTAGTCAATATGTATTGTACACTGTTTCTTACATGTTAGTCAATGGATAAGATGTTTTGTATGTATAAACTAATTTAATCCTTATAATCACCCCGCGAGGCAGAAACAAATACTACATTTAAGATGGGAAATTAAGACTCAGTTTGCCCAAGGTCACAGAGCTTCAATTTGAGCTCTGGGTATCCCATTCTAAAGCCCTTATTCTTAATCATTAAGCTATACTGCAGCTCATAAGACTGGCACAGGTTGTTAATGCAATTTTGTAAAGTTCTGTGTGTTTGTGTGTTTTAATAAAATCTTTGAAAGAAAAGAGCAGTTGTACTTGACATTAAGAGCTTGGGGAACTTAAAAAATAGTGTGGAAGGGACTTCCCTGGTGGTCTGGTGGCTAAGACTCTGAGCTCCCAATGCAGGGGGTCCAGGTTTCATCCCTGGTCAGAGAACTAGACAATGCATGTTGCAACTAAATAATAATAAAAAAGATTTCATGTGCCCCAACTAAGACCTGGTGCAGTTAATAAATAAATTTTTTTTTAAATAGAAAAATGGTAGGGAGGAGGTGGGAAGACAGCAACAGAGTCTATATCCTAGAAGCTAGGGAGGAGGTGAAAAGCAGGATTAGGAAGGAGAGGAGGATGAGAGGGATAACTTGGAATGACTGGGGGTCGTACTCTCAACTGAACCATAGGGAGGTTGAGTGGTTTCTTAACAATAATGATTAACATGGCTTCCCTGAATCTTACACTTTTCCTTGTCTACTCTTATAACTCCAATCCCTCCTTCAAACTTTCTGACCTTGTTCTGCCCAGTGGTTATGAGAACAAGCAGCGAACAGGATTGAAACACATCAAAACCTGCACCATCACCTATAAATGTGCATTTAACATTCTGCTTAAGATTCAGGAGGAGTCTTTTTCACTTCCCAGATCTCATTTGCATTTCCATTGACATCTGAAGGACAGAAGCAAAGAAACTTGAGCTTTCTTTTTCAAATCACAGTATTGTAGGCTATTATTACTGAAGACCAGAAGAAGAAAACAACTAAAATATACAGTTTACAGTATTTTTTACTATCAACTCAGCCCATTGTAACTTTTCAGAGTGCAATGATTAACAATAGCAAGAGTATTAGAAGAATGCTTTACTCTTTTCAAAATAATTTTCCATCCATCATTTTACTTTCTCTGTATAACAACTCCAGTGGAGAAGGTAATGCAGATATTATCAGTCCCATTTTATAGATGAGGAAACTGAAACTCAAATAGTTTAAGTTAGTTTCTGTAAAGAGCTATGAGAGATGCTTCAGTATTAGAAGTAATTAGCTCTCTCCATTTCTGTGAAGTTTCGGTCTGAGTTTCAGATCAATTACTTTAGTATTTCCCAGCACTCTAAAATCTACACTCAGGACTTCCCTAGTGGGCCAGTGGTTAAGAATCCACCTGCCAATTCAGGGGACATGGGTTTGATCCCTGGTTCAGGAAGATCCAAAATGCCACAGAGCAATGAAGCTCATGCTCTGTAACTACTGAAGTCCACTCACCTAGAGCCTGTGCTCCACACTAAGAGAAGCCACTGCAGTGAGAAGCCCCCTCACCGCAACTAGAAAATAGTCCCCACTCACTACGAGAGAAAGCTCGCTTGTAGCAACGAAGATCCAGCACAGTCAATAAATAAATAAAGTCTACACTCTTCTATCCCATCACCACTTCCAAGCCTCGAACACTTGGCCAACTTCTTCATCTGCTTCATCTTCATCCCATCTGTCATGGGTACAGGTAGTGAAACACAGCAAAGGGCTTGTGTGCCCAGGGCACACAGAAAGCCAACCCTGACAGCAGGAGTTTGCAGCAAAGTAAGGATTTAGGCTTGCTTGATAGCTCAGTTGGTGAAGAATCCACCTGTAATGCGGGAGACCACAGTTCAATTCCTGGGTTGGAAAGATCTGCTGGAGAAGGGATAGGCTACCCACTCCAGTATTCTTGGGCTTCCCTGGTGGCTCAGCTGGTAAAGAATCCGCCTGCAATGCGGGAGACCTGGGTTCGATCCCTGGGTTGGGAAGATCCCCTGGAGAAGGGAAAGGCTATCCATTACAGTATTCTGACCTGTACAATTCCATGGACTGTAGAGTCCACGGGGTCGCAGAGTCGGACACAACTGAGTAACTTTCTCTTTCACTTTCAAGGATTTATTGCAGGGTGCCAAGCAAGGGCATGGGAGACAATCCTCAGATCCACTCCCATTAGGTCTTGAGTTAGGGGATTTTTAAAAGGGAAGAGCCAAGAGGCTGGGATTAATCATCGTCCTGTGACAACTTTGTGACATTTCTTCATCATAGTTTTGGAAGCCAGGATATCTCTGGTTTATGATTCTTCGGCCAGGTGGTTCATGGCTTGGGGGTCTGTTAGTTCATCTTGCCCTGGAGGAACAACCTGAGTTTGCATAGTGGTAGTGTCACCTACAACAATTTTAGTCAACAACATCTGACTCTGATTGATTAGCATTTAGTTAGCACAGGACTGAAGTCAGAGGAGACAAGAAAGGGAATAAGATTTGGACAGAGTGGTTAATCACAAACTCTGCAAGGGAACTAAATTTTAGAGAGATTTGGTTTCAGTAGAAAAGCACCGCATTGTATAACCATTGTTTACTGCACTGGCTCCTTGAATGACTATTCACAACTGACGACAAAAATCTTTCTTACCTTAAGCCTTCAACATACCTTTTTTCTTGCCTTCCTTTAATGATTTTAAAACAGATACACAAGTTCTTTAAGATTTCTCCCTTCAGGTGTATGTGCATGTGCTCAGACTTTTTGCGACCTCATAGACTATAGCCTGCCAGGCTCCTCTGTCCTTGGAATTTTCTAGGCAAGAATACGGGAGTGGGTTGCCATTTCCTACTCCAGGGGATCTTCCTGACCTGGGGACCGAACCCACGTCTCTTCTGTCTCCTGCATTGGTAGAGGGATTCTTTACCACTGCCTGATATGAGAAGTCCTCTCCCTTCAAGAAGAAGAGCTCAATTCTCCTCCCTTCAAGCATGAGCTGAATGTTAAGTTGCTTCTAATAAATAGAATGCAGATCTTCCTCAACTTACAATGGGACTTTGCCCCAAAACCCCATAAAAAATGAAAAATATTTTAAGCTGAATATGCACTTAATACATCTAAACCACATATGAAAAATATTTTAAGCTGAATATGCACTTAATACATCTAAACCACATAACAGCATAGCCTAGCCTACCTTAAATGTGCTCAGAACACGTATTATTATCCTACAGTTGGGCAAAATCATCTAACACAACATTTTATAATAAAATGTTGAATATCTCATGTAATTTATTGAATGTGTACTGAAAGTGTAAAATATAATACTTGTATGGGTACAGAATGGTTGTAACAGCATCAGTTGTTCACCGTCATGATCCCCATTAGGGAAGAGTATGGCACTGCATCTCAATAGCCTGGGGAAAGATTACAATTCCAAATTCTAACTACAGTTTCTAAAGAATGTGTATCACTTTCAAACCATCATAAAACTGAAAAATCGTAAGTTTAACCATGGTTAGTTGGGGACTGTGTATAAAGTGCAAGTGATGAAGATTAGGTAAAAACACTAGGTCAGAAAAAGCACTGCAGCTTCCTCCCTGCTCTCTCTGTGCTCACAGCTGCCATATCAGGAGGCCACTCAAGCAGCCCTGCGGAAAGGCCCAGGTGGTGGAAGAACTGGGGCCTTTTGCCAACAACTAGTAAGGAAGTGAAGCATCTGACCAACAGCCATGTAAGTGAGGCATCTAAAAAGCACATCAAGTTGGGGATTTCCCTGGTGGTCCAGTGGCTAAGACTCTGTGCTCCCAATGCAGGGGGCCCAGGTTCAATCTCAGGCCAGGGAACTAGATCCCACATGCCACAGCTAAGAATGAGCATGCCACAACTAAAAGACCTCACATGCTGCAACTTAAAGAATCCACATGCTGCAACTAAGACCTGGCACAGCCAAAGAAATAGATATTAAAGAAAAAAAAAAAAAAGAAATCAAGCCTTCAGATGACTGGAGCTGCAACCGATAGCTTTATTGCAACCTAATGTGAGTCCTTGAGACAATAGAACCCATCTAAGCCTCTCCCTGATTCCTGACTCTCAGAAAATGTAAGATAATAAGTTTTTGTTTTGTTTTGTTGTTTCAAGCCTCAACATTTTGGGGTTATTTGCTAGGCAGAAATATATAACTAATATCCTTATGTAATTTCCTTTCTTGATTCCAGCTGATGTGATGTAGCTTGAGAGTTTCATAGCTTGAACACATTTGGGTACCAATCATCACAGTGAAGAGATAAATTGAATGACAAGGAGATTCCAAGGAAGAACTAGGCACAGGACCTGTGTCCCTAGTTTTAAAACTCTAGGGACTTTCCTGGTGGTCCAGTGTTAAGACTCCCTGCTTCCAATGCAAGGAGTGTGGTTTAATCCCTGGTCAAAGAACTAAGATTTCACATGCCATGAGGCCAAAAATTAAAAACAAATAAAGTGTACAACTTGAAAAAAAAATCACTCTCACTTGTGACAGAAGAGAACAAGAGTGGCATCCAAGAAACTCCTACTGGAACAGAACAAATGAGGAAGAATGAGGGCTTGGACTAGAACGGGCAGCTTGTTGAAGATGTAGGAAACCAAGTGGGTGTTCTACAGTATAGGGAAGTTTTGTGTTTTGAATACAGGGAAGACTGTAGAGGGAAAACAACCTGGTATCTGTCCAAAATCGCTTTCTTCTGGGATCCAATGTTGTCTAACTGCGGAATCCAAAAATCCAAAGGCCTTTTCCTAACCCTTCTCTCTGAAATGACCTCTTCCCTTGGCCTTGCGGACATAGTGTTACGTGGCTCCCTTTCACCCTCTTAGGGTGTTCCACCTCTGCCTTTCCTCCTGATTTTTCCCTATCTATCAACAACAACACATTTTCTCTTTCACTCAGGGTTAAAACTTGGAGCTCTTCTCAACTCTTCTCTCTTTTCTTTCTTCAACATGTATTTGTCAAATCCCTAACAAGCACCAGGTTCTATGTTAAACATTAGAGATGCAAACAGGCATGGCCTTAGCCTTTATGGCGTTTTCACTCTACAGGGAAAGATAGACATCAGACATTCACAAAGTGAGAAAAGTGAGGGAATTCCCTGTGGTCCAGTGGTTAGGACTCTGAGCTTTCACTGCTGGGCCCAGGGGGCCTGGGTGTGACGCTTGATTGGAGAAATAAGATCTTGGAAAACACACACACACACACACACAAACAAGGAGAATAGCGGTTTTTTCCCAGTTCAAAGGCCTCTGCTTTATTTTAAATTTAAATAACTTTAGGTATAATTGACATATAATAAACTGCACATATTTAAAGTGTATAATTTAATGAGTTTTTGACATGAAACCATCACCCTAATCAAGGTAAAGAGTGATCCATTATCCCTTCAGACTTCCTTGTGTCCCTTTGTTTCATTCAAAGATTTCTCTTGCCTTCACCCTCCTCATCCCCAGCCAACCACCGACCTGCTTTCTATCACTATTAGATTGGTTTGAATTTTCTAGAATCTTATGTAAATGGAATCATACAATATATACTCTTTTTTCTTCTGCCTCTTTTTACTCAGCATAAATTTGAGATTCATTCATTGCTGTGAATGAATCACAGTTCATTTCTGTTTATTGTTTATCTCTATTTATTGTTCAAACAGAATCATAGTTCATTTCTGTTTATTCCTGAGAAGTATCCCGTTGTATTTGTTGCTGTTCAGTCACTAAGTCATGTCCAACTTTTTGTGACCCCGTGGACTGTAGCAGGCCAGGCTCCTCTCTCCTTCACTATTTCCTAACGTTTGCTCAAACTCATGTCCATTGAGTCGGTGATACTGTCCAATCATTCCATCCTGTCTCCCCCTTTTCCTCCTGCTCTCAGTCTTTCCCAGCATCAAGGTCTTTTTCAGTGAGTCAGCTCTTCACATCAGGTGGCCAAAGTATTGGAGCTTCAGCTTCAGCATCAGCCGTTTCAATGAATATTCAGGGTTGATTTCCTTTAGCATTGACTGGTTTGATTTGTATGGATTACCATAAATTGTTTATTCATTTACCTGATGATGAATTTGGGATTGTTTCCAGGGGATTTTTTTTTCCATTATAAATAAAGTGCCAAGGATATTTGTGTACAAATCTTTCTGTGCTCATTGGTTTCTTCTTCCCTGGGGTAAATATCTAGAAGTACGATTGCCGAATCATATGGTAGCTATTGGGTTGGCCAAAAAGTTCGTTTGGGTTTTCCATACCATCTTACACAGTATGTTTAACTTAAAAAAAAATTTCCGAATTATTTCCAGAGGGTTGTACCATTCATTTTACACTCCCACCAGCAGGATATGAGAGATCCAAGTTCTCCACAGCTTTTCCAACACTCAGATCAGACTTTTAAATTTTAGGTGTGTATATAGTGGTTTTTCACTGTGGTTTTAATTTGTATTTCCCTAATGACTCATGCATTGGAGAAGGAAATGGCAACCCACTCCAGTGTTCTTGCCTGGAGAATCCCAGGGACGGAGGAACCTGGTGGGCTGCCGTCTGTGGGGTTGCACAGAGTCGGACATGACTGAAGCGACTTAGCAGCAGCAGCAGCAATGACTAATGATTTGAATGTCTTTTTATGTGTTTATTTGTCATGCATGTATCTTCTTTGCTGAACAATCTTCTAAATCTTTTGCTCAATTTCTTTTATTGGGCTGTTTGTTTTCTTATTATTGATTTTGGAGGGTTACTTCTGTGTTCTGGATACAAGTCCTTTGTCAGATATGTGATTTGTAATTGTTTCTCCTAGTTTGTGGCTTATTTTTAGTTCTCTTAACAATGTCTTTCAAATAGCATTTTTTTTTTAATTTTGAAGAAGTCCAGTATATCCATTTGTCCTGTTAAGGATTGTGCTGAGGATAACTAAGAACTCTGGCCTCATCCACGTCACATAAAAAGGCAAACTAGCCTAAAGGAGAAGACTGAGAGACAGGACCAGAGATAATCACCAGCAGGGGCCCCTGGGCGTGTTGGGGGAGTGGGAGTGGGGAGGCGGGGGGAGGGGAGAGGAAGAGACCCAGTAACAGGTGATTAAAACATTGGGTGGATTTTCACACAAGCAGAGTAGTGGATGTGTTTGTTAGCATTCAGCATATATTCCCACGTTCCTAACATGTATTTTCCTTCCAGTGTGCTTTCCTATACTGCAGAGGCTGAAAAAAATGAGGATTATATTTCTCAGCATACCTTGTAGTTAGTTAGATGTACTTGGGTGAGATTTAAAAGGCAGAAGGTCATCACTCTGCTACTTTGGCTATTTCTGCTGGCAAGCAAGGCCTTGGAGATGTGATCTATTTCTACTGCAATAGCCCACTGATGTCTCAAGCTTTGCAAACATTGAGAGGTGGTTGCATCAGAGTGCAGCGGCGGCAATGTCCTGATCATAGCTTCCAGATCCCTGGATCACAGTTGCGATCACTTATTCTCAAGCCCCATCATCAGCGGAGACATCCAGGTGCTCCACGCTCTCTGACTATGGCAGAGGTAGCAGCTCGTCTGATAGAGCACTTTTTTCATCTTCTGGAGCTTGTTGCTGGAGTTTCAGCCCAGAGTGGGTGCTTCTAGACATTCCAGGTGATTTTGTAAGCAGATATGTCTTCATATCCTTCTGCTACTTGGAGGGGTTTTTGTTTCCTGCACTGAACCTTCAGTGATACAAGCAGTCAGACTGTATCTGAGAGGAATGATAAAGAGTAAAAGGGATCTGCGGTGTGGGAGGAATGTCACAATGTATGAAATCATTCATTTATTCAACATGTAACAGACACAACGTGGGTGCTATTGCTAGATCCTAGGAATATCAGCCTGCCCTGAAGGAACTTACACAATCTGATGATTCAAGATATGAGGACAGAAATATATTGGGGCACTATGTGCTCACAGACATGTTCTCATCAATTTTGGAGAGGTCATGAAGAAGGTGACCTATAAAGCCTGGTTTTAAGGCATGAGTAAGAATTAGCCAGTTAAGAAAAAAGAGAAAATCCTTCTATCAGTACTAGTGTAAATTATGAAAAAAAAGTTTTAAATTTCTATACTCAACTCACACCCCCGCAACATAATTTCCCACAAGAGAGAAGAGAGCAGATGTGTGTTTCTAAAGACCTTAGAGGGGGGCGCTAGAGATAATGTAGAGTTTCCTAGGTAGGAGGGAGTAGCTGGAGTTTGAAAGTGTTTTGAGTCAGCAGTTGACTTAAGAGAGAGTCTGGGCTTCCCTAGAGACTAAGGGTAAGGGAGCCAAGCTGGCCTTAACTTTTAAGTCCTCTTTACTCCCTCACTTCTCACAAGAAAATCAGAATGGCATGGAATTTCCAAGTCGAAGGCCAGGTTCAGTACCAGGGTCTGTACTTACTAGCTATAAGGCCTCGGATGTATTATTTAACTTCTTTTAATCTGTTTACTCATCTGTGCAATGGGGATAATAATATCCCTTTCCCACAGTGTTGTGAAGGCCAAACCAGATAATAGATGTGGGGAAAAAATGCTGTAAATTACAAACACTATAAAAATATTAGTCACTGTCATCAAATAGGTAACTATGTCTTGTTGATTCTAGCTCAGATATATCTCTGTTACAAACTGAATTTTGTCCTCCCCAAATTCATATGTTGATAATGTGACTGTATTGGGTAACTGGGTCTTTAAGAAGGCAATTTTAAAAAATAAATAAATTAATTAATT